TATATATATATAGATACAAATGGAAAAAACATAAATAAAAGACATGAAGGAAATTAAGATAATTAGTATATATATATGCATTGAAATTTTATTTTTTAAGATATTAGTTGGGCTAGTATGATGTAGTATGACTAACTTTTTGATGACTTTATGATCGAATTATGTTTACAGTAATAATAATTTAAAATCAAAGTGAGGTTTTCCTAGGGGTTCAATGTTTTTAGCTTTTTGGAGGTAGAAAGTGAGTAACGCTAGTATTTTCTATATAATAACTGTCGATTGATATCAAAACATGCCGTTTTAATGAGACTTGAAAAGTGTATTAAAAGTATATTTCAACTTTTAAAAAAAATGTTGACTGGAATTTTTGTACCCAGTATGTATATATTATGTAAAAAAAACATCTTAATATTAAATTGATCATTTAAGTAATGGCATTGAACTAAAAATTACGATATCTGATTTAAGGGGGGGGGGGTATAATTTGTTGATTTATATGCAAATGAACATCTTAATTTTTCACAGGATATTTAAATGCGTTTCAAATTTGATTGTTTACGTCATTTTCTTAAAGTTATGTATAATCATTAATAAGTCTGAAAAATATTTTGAAATAGTAATAGCTTTGGCTGAAATCAGTGGCAATCATGGCAAATCTTAGTCATCTTGAAATGTAATCCCTACTGTTAATAGAAATCATATGTATTATAAATACGATATTTCCATGCAAATAAATTGATTAAATGATCATCAAATACCGTACATCTAACTTAAAAATGACGAGAAAAAAATTCATGAACAACAATTATTCAAATATTTTCGTTATTTTCCTTTTTCCTTGTTGCTTGGCAGTCGGTTCTAACTCATGCTAATTTAACAGGTTAATAAAATGCGATGTCAAATTCTTTTTTAAAAAAAATGATCGACATTTTTAAACTAGTTACAAATAAAAGTAACAGAAATCTCTTGGGATCTTAATATTTTGTAAACATGCTTTTGGAATTTCGGCCTCCCCACCTACTTTGTTCGAAAAATGAGAAAATCATAAACACCCTTCCAAGCTTACACAAAAAAGAAGTCTTCCAGTTTCTACTTTTGTGCTATAACTTCGACTTTTAATATAATTTTTGGTAATAAATTTGAATAAATGATGTAATTTTGCAACAATTAAACTCATTTCGTGAATTTGTAAATAACTCTTAGAAACCTTTTGTGTTTTCTTCTGTGATTACAATTCTTGACCTCAGTAGCTCACAGACAAAAGTTTATTTATGAAGATTTTCTGTTCCCAAACATAACTTTTATTTCAAATTTTAAATTTTTCTGTAATTTTTTACCCAAATTTTTTGTTATATATTTTTTTTAATTTTCAAAATTTTTTGAAAATAATGTGATTTTAATATCTTACGTAGGCATTGCTCATACTCCTCCCCGCTGGCAGGAATAACAAACAAATCACAACCCCTCTCACCGTTTGATGCTTGCGCTATATAGAGTTCTTTGGACCGAAAAGCATCTTATTGGACATGTTTAATTATTCTTTCAGATGAATTATAATATATTTGGAATAAGTGGTCCAAAACTCAGTAAAAAGGATTACTAAAAACACTTTTATCTTGTGCATTTGAAATTAAACTTTAATTTAGTTATTTATTTATTTATTCCTTACGCACCTTTCCAGATTCTAATGGCCATTTTTCAAGAGGTGGAACAATAACATATTAACGACAGCTAGTTTTAAATGGACTCATGAACAAAGATTAATGAGGAGCATTTACCGGGGTTAGTGAGCGGAACAAGCAGGCGTCGTAGATTCCTAATCAATTTTTAAAAAAAGCAAAAATAAAGTAAATATAATTTTTAAAACAAGCCTCATGTGCCGTTTATTCAATGGGATACCTACAAGTGACGTAGTGTGGGTGTCTCGAGCCTGATTGATTGTTAAAACGTGGCTTTGTTTACGTTAGTAGCTGTTCTTTCCATATTTTTCTTCGTGTTAAGTTCCAGGGGTCCCCAACCCTATGCCCGCGGGCACCATGGCGCCCGTCGATCGATCTAGGTGCGCCCGCTGCTCAACTATAAAATATTTCAGTTTTCCATTTTCCCAATAAATGCTATGCAAATACATACTG